TAAATTTATCCAGTCTGACAATATTTGCATTTTACTGGTTCATTTTAGCCCATGTACATTTAATGTAATTTCTAATACATTTGAGTTCATTCCACTATTTTCTTTTGTGCTTTCTATTTGTTTCCCCTGTTCTAGGTTTCTTTTTCTCCTTTCTTGCATTTCTCCTTTCATACAAAATTGTTGGTAATTTTTTTATCATTCTATTTTTCCCTCCACTAGTTTGTTCCTATTCTTTTAGTGATTACCTTAAAAACTCATGGCATGCATACTAAATTATCAAAGTCTAAAATAAAGCAATATCTTTTCCCTCTTACCAGATAAAACATAACCCTTAAAACACTTTAAATGCATTATATTATGTTATTGTAGTCATGTATTTAACCCTACAAGATACTGTTAATATTATTTTTTTTTGTATACAATTACTGTTCATGTAGATTTAACCCTGTATTTACCACTTCGTGTTATTATTGTTCTTCATTACTTCTTGCATCTCCAACTTCTACTTGGGATCTCTTTCCTTTTGCCTGAATTTCCTTTGGTAAGAATCTACTGGTGCAAAACTCTTTCAATTTTTGTTTTTCTAAAAATAACTTTACTTTCATTCTTAAAAGATAGTTTTGCTAAGTATAAAATTTTAGATTGGCAGTGTTATAACACCATGCTCTAACCAACTGAGCTAACCGGCATGGCTTCCCTTAAAGTCAGTTTTCAGCCTAACTATAACTTGAAGGTAAACTGTCTTTTTCTCTGACTGCTTTTAAATTTTTTCTTCGTCATTGTTCTGCAGTTTTATTATGATTGTCTAGATGTGGATGTCTTTTTACATATCCTGCTTGGGATTCATGGGGCTTCCTACATCTGTGGCTTGCTATTCTTTTTAGGAACTTTATTATTTTATCAATATACAATGTAGTTGATTTTTGTGTCCCTTTACCAGTTCCTCCTTTTCCTCCCTTGTGGCTTGCTATCTTTAATTAGCTCTGAAAAATTCTCAACCATTCTTTCTTCAAATATTGCCTCTACCTTAATATCACTCCTTTCTTTCGAAACACTGATTGAAAATATTTTAGACCTTGTCTCATTATCCTCCATCTCTCTTGAATTCATTCCATAGCTACTGTCTTTTTGTCTTTCCCTACTACATTTTCAGTTTGTTTTTTTTTTCATAAGATGACTGATAAGGGGATCTTGACTTGGTGTTATCAGCACCACACTCTTCCAAGTGAGCTAACCGGCCATCCCTATATAGGGATCCAAACCCGTGGCCTTGGTGTTATCAGCACCGCAATCTCTCAAGTGAGTCACGGGCTGGCCCGTGAGCTATTTTTTCTTGTTTCTATTTCACTCTCTCAACTATGTAATTTCTGAAAAATTATTTTTTTCAAATCTCACTTTTAATAGTTTTCTGCTTGCAATTCATATTTTCAAGCTCATTTTAAAATTTCTTTAAAACACAATAAGCACATTTTTATAATCTAGTCTAATAATTCCAATATTTGATGTTTTCATATGTCTCTTTCTACTGCTTATTGTTTCTGCTCGTTCTTGCTCATGGCATTTTTTCCTTGCTGCTTTTGATTTTTTTAGTGGGAATTACTCATTATTCTTAAAAAATTATTTGTGGGTATATTAGTCCATCACTGTTGCTTATAATAATATACCTGAAACTGGATAATTTATAAAGAAGTAACTTGGGGGGCTGGCCAGTTATCTCAGTTGGTTAGAACATGGTGTTATAACACAAGGTCAAGGGTTCAGATATCACCATAAAAAAAATTTTATTCTTTACAGTTTTGGAGACTGGGAAATCCAAAGTCCAAGGAATATATCTGGTGAGGGCCTTGTTGGTGAGTGGTGACTCTTCACAGCAACAAAGGGTATCACATGGCAAATGCCTTGAGCAAGAGAGCTAACCTGCTCACTTGCTCTCCTTATAAAGCCGTCAGGACCACGTCCATTACCACCCATCCACTTATTACTCCATGAATGGATCAATTGATTCACTGGAGCATGGTCCTCACAATCTAATCACTTGTTAAAGGCCACACATTTAAATTACCATAATAGGATTTCCCACCTCCAACACCCTCAACTTACAGTGGGGATTAATATTTGAACCTTTGGGGGACACAATTCAACCCATAGCAGTGGGAATGAAGATGACTTCCTTCAGAGATGTTTTGTGTTTGATTCTGGCAGGTATCTGGGTGTACAATCTAAGACCCCCACAAACCAAGTTCACAATTTGAGAATCCCTGAAATACTCAGATGATAAAAATGCAGGCTGAGTTCTGTGAAAAGACTGGTGTATGGCCAAAATTTTTCAGAAACATTCTTTTTTTCCTTTCCTTTTACTAACCTATTCTTCACTCTGTACCAAGAGAGGCTTTCCTGCAGTCCCCTGGGGGTGGGGTAAAAGCTATGAGTTTACTGCTGATTCACCTAATCATTACAATATAGCCCTTTGAAATTACAGCCTAATATGAGGAAAGTCTCGTTTTACTGGACTTCCCACCTTGGATAGGCCCTTGGCCTTGGCTTCTGGAACCATCTATCTATCCACAAGGCTGGGCAAACCAAAACGCAGTTTACCTGGACTGGCAAATATCAATTCCCCCTCATCTGGGGGAAAATTACTTTAGTATTCTGATACTTCACTTACCTCTCTGGGTCTCTGGAAAGCAAACAGGAGGTCACAGTGTATCTTTACCTTCTATTTTATATTTGAGAAATGTTTGAAATGCTTTATAACAAGTATACATTTAACTTTTAATTACATTCTTTAAAAATAAACTAAAGGCTTATATGAAAATAGCAGTCTCCTCCCTACCCCTCTTCACACCTCAGTCCCATACCTCTCAGCTTCCACTTCTGTAATTGCTTTCTAGCCTCCAAAGATGTGTTAAAATCTCATATCTGCCGCCACATTCTTTTTATTCTCATGCTTTTCTATTGCTTTACTGTCATTTAGTGAGATAGGAAGAATCAATATGATCAATCTGCTTTTTTTTACAGTAGTTTTTTTTTTTTTAATGTAATTGACTTTAAGAGAATGTGCAAAGAAATGAACAACTATTTGAGACCTTAAAAATCATAAATATGTGATCTGGTATTCATACATGTATAGTAGGCCTTTGTAAATGTTTACTTGTGTTCACATAAAATGTGTTTTTGGGGTTTTTTAAAATTTTATTAATATTTTTTTACATTCTATGATGTTGTAGAGCAGTTAGGAGGGAGGAGAGGGGAAAGGGGAAGGAAATGGGATGGAAGGAGGAGGGAGGAGGGGTGGGATTGAAGCCTGTGGCACCCCCCCCCACATTCCCACAGGTGAGACAGGTGGGCTTCCAGCAGTGGCTTGGTTATTGCCAGGCTGGGTGCAGATGTCAAGGGGGTGTGGCAATAGCCCTCGCCCCCCACCACCTCAGCTCAGGAACCGGGGGCTCTTCTTGCTGCGGCTTGTTCGTCATTACTGGGCTGGTTGAGTGGGGGGGGGGGGGGGGGTTAAAAACCTTGGCCCCCAGTTAAGACCCTTGGCCCCCAGCAGCCCTGGCTCCGGAGAGCCCGGGGAGCCTCCTACAGTGGCTTGGTGGTCACACTGGGCTGGTTGCTCTTGTGGGGGTGTGTGGGCAAGGCCTTCGGCCCCCCCCACTGCCCTGGCTTGGGAGAGTCCGGGGCTTTTCCTGCAGCAGCTTGGTGGTTGTCGCTGGGATGTTTGCACTTGTCAGGGGGTGTGGCCCAGGCCCGAGGCCCCCATCCTCGGGACTGGTTGCTGGTGTTGAGGGCATGGCTGAGGCCCCCAGACCTCCACCCTTCCTGGCTTAGTAGCCCAGGGGACTTCTGGTCCTTCTGTTATAGGCATTCTTTGGTGAAATGAGAACTTTACTGGTTAACATCAAACTTTGTCCTTGGTTGTGGGTACTTTGTTTTTTCTTTCAGTTCTGTGTTGGATTATTTGCTGTTCCCACCACTTAAACTCTGCACTGGAACTAATCTGTTGTCCTTTGCTTACTTCTAAAATGAGGGAACTTCCTGTGGGGACCAGTACTTGAGCTCTGTGGTTGGGCTAAATTGCTGCTTTGCTGCTGATTCCCTAGGGAAGGCTTTTTGTGCAGCTCAGGTTTTAATAGTTGACTTTATATAGTACTTCTGGATCTGGTGAAATTTGATGTACCTGGGTTGTATAGAAACATTGGTCTGGGCCTGAGTCTTTTCATCAAACTGCACCCATTGCAATTTTATATTCCTGGCCAGTCTTCTCTGAGTGGTCCTATGCTGACTGGGGGGCAGATCAGCTGTCCATGCTGTGCCCCAGTGTTCCCCCAGTGGGCCCGTCTCCCCCACTGCCCGTGTTCCAAACACTTCCCATGGGATGGGCTGTGCTCTGGTCCCTTGCGATGACTCACCAGCCTCTGAGTGGTTCCTTTTTTTCAGTTGTTGTGGCTCCTTGATCCTATGTGAGCCCACGGGAACCCTGTTGGTGGTACTGCTGGCCTGGGGGCCACCAAGCCCTTCTTCTCCCCTACTGCCTCCAAGCAACTCCATCCGGAGGGCACAGCTACAGCTTTTGCTGGCTCCTGCTCCAAGCATTCAGCAGCTCCAGCCTTAAAGCCACTGTGGCTCGAAATGGTCAGAGTAGTTTTTTCTTTTTCTCATTGTGGCTTCTCCCACCTTCATGCCCTCCGTAGGTCTCTCCTCCTCTTCCCTTGAGCTCTAGTGGCCCCAGCTTGACTGTCGTTGCTGTTTTTTTTTTTTTTTTCCTTTTTTTGTCTTTTTTACTGACTGGTAACGGGATCGCAACCCTAGGTGTCGCGCCCGTACCGGGGACCGGCAACGGGATCACAACCCTTGGTGTTGCACCCACACCGCGCTCAGCCAGTGAGCGGGAACCAGTCTCCACATGGGATCCGAACCCTCGGCGGGAGCGCCGCCATGCTCCCAAGCGGCGCACTCTCCAGTGCGCCACCAGGCTGGCCCCTGTCGTTGCTTTTTAATAGTTGTAAATTGATTTGTGGGAAAGAGTGACCTGGGAACAGTCTATTCTGCCATCTTGACTGGAACCTCTGGAATCTGCCACTTTTAATGAGAAGTCATATGCATTAACATGTAGTGAATAGGACCTATCAAAGGATGATCAGCCACTTGTTTTAAAGAGGTCCTCTTAGTGACAGGTGACTGTGGTGGTGTTGGCAGTGAAGATGGACTGGGGAGGGGAGACCCCAGAGGCTTGTGAGAACAGTTAAAGGGCTTTTGTAGTTAGGAAGAGACAGGAGTAGGCTCCCCACCCAGCTGCAGCAAGATGGTGAGAGCAACATAGAAGGCACAGAGCATTCATGCCTCAGGGTCACAGTCCATGTCATAGGGATTGCTGGCTTACGTACCCCAATTCTGCTCAAGGATAGACTCTACCTGGAAGGAATATCACTGGACTGTAAAAGCTGGAAACAGGGCCGGCCCGGTGGCGCACTGGATAGTGCGCCGCTTGGGAAGCGCGGAGGCGCTCCCGCCGAGGGTTCGGATCCCACATACAGACCGGTTCCCGCTCACTGGCTGAGCGAGGCATGGGGGCGACGCTGAGGGTTGCAATCCCGTTGCCGGTCCCCGGTCCGGTACGGGGGCAACACTGAGGGTTGCGATCCGTTGCCGGACACGGAAAAAAGACAAAAAAAAAAAAAAAAAAAAGCTGGAAACATACCAGAATTGGCAAAAACTTGGCCACACTGCTTAATCCTGAGCCAACGGGCAGATGTAGTAATCTATCATGGCACCCTTTCCTGCAGAGCCTGGAGAGCCTCATACTCTGTCAACATAGTGGCAGGCACTGCTAATCAATTAGTGTTGGCACTCAAGATGGTACCAACTGCCATCCTGGGACTAACCATTTTCCACCCCTCTCTTGCCCATAGACAAGCAACAGAGCCTAAAGATCCCATCCCAAATTCTCCTGGCAATTGTGTGTCTAGGAAATTACCACAAACCAGCCACATGAATGTCGCTGGCAGAGAACTATGGAATAAGAAGGGACTGTACGCTGGGACTTCTGGGTCCCTTGAGAACATAGGCATTCACTTCCACCATGACCCTGGCCTTCAGCCCAGGCTGTCTCACCTGGTCCTTCAACAGGGGCAGGGTCCCCTTCTCCAGGGCCTCAGCCACAAGCTGTTGCTCCTCAGACAGCTCTAGGGGCAAAAAAAGAGGGCGATTGACAAAAAAGAGAGGCACATGGTGGGACAGGGCGTTAGTGGCTGATCAGGCCCAGAACATGCATCAGAAGGAGGTTTCAGAGAGCCTCTGGGAGTGCTAGTTGGGAGTTATTTCAAATGGACTCCTGCTTCCCTCTTTGCCTGCAGGAGATCATAGACTATACCAAGGAAGAACAAGAGGCAGCTCCTCAATGCCTGGCCTGGGGAAGGTGGCTAGTCCCTGAAATATAAGTGTACACAAAGCATAAAGAGCAGTGTGCACCCCACTTCTCCCAAGATTTGATTTCCCAAAGTCCTCTCTGCTCAGCATTTCCTCTACCCCAGCATACAGCCAGATCCTTCCTCACTTATCAGGGCATCCAGGAGGTCCAGAATGGCTTCTGTGCACACCTGCCAAGATCCCAGCAGCATTAACAAGGCTGCTTAGGAGAGGACCTGCTGGGTCCTCCAGCTGCAGCTTACTAGAGATCAGGACCTTGGACACCTGGGTCCAGGAGCCAGGGGAGATGAGCTCCAGTTCCACTGTAGCAGATCATCCTCATGATGCCAGCTGCCTTCCCCACTGACATCTCTCTCTCTCTCTCTCCCTCCCCCAGTTCTTTCTTGGGGTCCCTTACTCTGCTCTAGATCCTACAGTTGCCCATCCTTGCTGAAGACACTTAATGAGGAAGATTAGCACATCTTTTTCTCCTAAGTCAGATCATGGAGGACTCTCACTACGTCCAGCACCTTCTCGCCTTCATGTTTCTGGAATCCTCCAAACTCAAGGACTTTCCTGTAGAGGCAGCACTTAAGAATCTGGCCCACCCAGCCCAACAGGCTTCATTCCTAAGGCCCCTGGAAACCCTATTACTTGTCTATATTTCATCTGGAGACGTCCTCTCTGTGTCTTCCTTTCTTCCAATCTTTTCCTGTTAAAATGGAGCATCCTTCTTCCCAGACACACACCATCATTGCCTCCTGCTGACTCCACTTCCATCTTCTCAGCTCACCCCCAGTCTAGTCCCAACCTCAAATTCTTCTCCACCTCTAGGAGAAAAACAAAACTTGGTTATTTAGTCCTTATCATTCAAAGTGTAGTCCTCAGGCCACACTAGTAGTAATAGGATTTAGAGGAGGTTAAAGCCGTGGTTCTCAACCTTGACTGTGCATAAGAATCACCTGGGTAGTCATTACAAATCCTGATGCCCAGGCCACACCCCAGACCAATTAAGTCAGAATATCTGGAGGCAGGACTCAGATGTCACTAGTTTTAAAGTTCCCCCAGGTGATTTCAATGTACAGCCAATGGAACCACTGTGTTTAAAGGAGACAAATGCAACCTCCAGACTAAAGTTGAAACCTGCTGGTCACTGCCCCCCCACCCCACCCCATACCCATGCAGCTGATTCCCCCTGAGTGGCAGAGTTGAGCCAGGTGGGCGAAAGGGTCTGTGAGTGCAGCTACTCTGCACATACCTGGTGTATCATCCTTACCTAAACAGGATGAACCACCATACTTCTCTGCAGAGAGGAAGAATAATTTCAGAGAGTCCAGGTCACCTCCAGCCCCCTGTAGACATTCTCTTCCACTGATGGAAGTTTTCATCCCTGGACTCTGAGCCCTCACTGCTCATTCCAGGGAGCCTGCATCCTCATCATTGTGTATAAATGGGAAAATACTGTATTTGCAGACCGCTTCTCACATTCTTGGAGATAGAGGGCCATAGGATTATGCCTAGATGATTGAAGAAGAAACCAAGACCCAGAGAGGGTGCAACATGTCACCCAGCAAATTGGGGTCAGACCTCTCTCTATCCTTCCCCAAGGCCTATTAAGCAGTACAACCCCGCTGGGATCCAGGGGGGAAAAAAATTCCAGAGGAAGCTATTTTTATAATCACAGGGACCTTCTAGTATAACCCTGTATTAGTCCATTTCTGTTGCTTATAACAAAATACTCAGAACTGGGTATTTTACAAAGAAAACAAAATTTATTGCTTACAGTTTCTGAGGCTGGGAGGTTCAAAATCCAAGGAACACGTCTGGTGGTGGCAACAGTGACCCAGGGGTCTCACATTGCTAGATGGTGGAAGCAGAGAGAGAGACTAACCTCCTCATTCACTCTCCTTTTAAAGCCCTCCAAACCACACCCATGACCACCATTTTTTTTTTTCCTTTTTGTCTTTTTTTTTACTGACCAGTAACAGGATCGCAGCCCTCGGTGTCACGCCCGCACTGGGGACCGGCAACAGGATCGCAACCCTCGGTGTTGCGCCCGCACCATGCTCAGTCAGTGAGTGGGAACCGGTCTCCACATGGGATCCGAACCCTCAGCAGGAGCGCCGCCGTGCTCCCAAGTGGTGCACTTCTCCAGTGCACCACTGGGCCGGCCCATGACCACCATTTTTAATCCATCCACTACAGCATGGTCCTACAATCTAATCACTTCTTCAAGGCCCCATCTTTCAATTACCATAATAGGATTTCCCACTCTCAACAGTTACAATGGGGATTAAGTCTCAATGAGGTTGAGGGGGCATCCAATGTACAGCAAACCCCTTCATTTTAAAGTCAGGAAAACCATAACTTGGGAGGCTATAGAGCTAGTAAGTGGTACTACACCCTGAGACTGACTGACTCAGTCCAGTACTCTTTTCACAGCCAGTGCTGTCGTGTAAGAACTCACCAGGTAATCCAATTGGTGCTTCCTAGGCCAGTAAGCCTTCAGTGAGATCTGTGAGCCCAGAATCCAGCAGACTGTCCAGCACAAAGCAAGTCAACATTGTCCTGGGAGCAGCCTGGAAACCTTAGGCCAACATTCAATCCAGACTGCTTCTCCGACATGTAGATTTTCCTCCTGTCCTTACCACAGCTCGCACCTCTGGGTGTATCCTACTGTATTCTCAGCCCTAACAACTATATAATTGCCAGTGTTGTCCTCTTTTTAAAAATAGTATCCTTGACCAGTCTGAAATGATGAACGGGAAGTCCAGCAGTTCACTCAGCTCCTAGAAAGGACTTTGTTTTGCCCCAGAAACAAATATCTAAACCAGCACTGAAGAAAGAGAGAGAGAGAGAGAGAGAGAGAGAGATCTGTAAATTCCCTCTTTCCAATCCCTTGTAATAGAATACAATGTAATACAATAAAAATGGTGTCATGGTGAAGCAAATCCTAGGTCAGCTGGTCCCTGGTCCCCAGGTCAGAGCATGGAACCTCAGTTCTGCCTCGCAGTCCTGAACCTTCCCTCTTTCCTGAGCCCTCCCCCACCTCAGAGTTCACCAGCCACCCACTGCAGGCTGACATGGAGCCTGGCTGAATCCACTCCCGCCCCACTGTCGCATGTAGGGCCATCCCATCCTGCCCCCACCTCAGAGTTCACCAGCCACCCACTGCAGGCTGACACCGAGCCTGGCTGAATCCACTCCCACCCCAGTGTCGCATGTCACCCCACTGTCGCATGTAGGGCCATCCCATCCTGCCCCCACCTCAGAGTTCACCAGCCACCCACTGCAGGCTGACACGGAGCCTGGCTGAATCCACTCCCACCCCACTGTCGCATGTAGGGCCGTCCCATCCTGCCCCCACCTCAGAGTTCACCAGCCACCCACTGCAGGCTGACACGGAGCCTGGCTGAATCCACTCCCACCCCACTGTCGCATGTAGGGCCGTCCCATCCTGCCCCCACCTCAGAGTTCACCAGCCACCCACTGCAGGCTGACACGGAGCCTGGCTGAATCCACTCCCACCCCACTGTCGCATGTAGGGCCGTCCCATCCTGCCCCCACCTCAGAGTTCACCAGCCACCCACTGCAGGCTGACACGGAGCCTGGCTGAATCCACTCCCGCCCCACTGTCGCATGTCACCCCACTGTCGCATGTAGGGCCATCCCATCCTGCCCCCACCAGGTCTTGCTTACTCGCCTTCTCCTTGTTGCGGGGGGATGAGCTGCTTTATTCGATAGCCCAGGATTCACTTGGGGGAAATGGTCACTTCCCTTTGGTGCTCACATTGATGAATCCTCACTGCTTTACCTAGAGTTGTCTTGCCTGATCTCTCAAACAATCCTGTGAGGTAGACATTTTTATCTCAATTTTGCATATGCGAGAACTAAGTAAGGCTCTGAGAGGGAAAGTAGGTGAGCCTGTCTCACAGCTAAAAACAGTGGCGGAGCTGAAATTTGAACCCAAGTCTGACACCAAAACTCATGCTGTTTCCACTATTCATTCAACACATGTTTGTCAAGGACCTGCTTTGTTACAGGCACTGTGGCTCCTGCCCTCCTGCCTCCTAGAAAGGGAGGCAATGAGCAAACAAAAAAAACACCGGTGTTATTATAAACCGTTGGAAGTGCTATGGTGGCTGGCCAATTAGCTCAGTTGGTTAGAGCACAACCTTATAACACTAAGGTCATGTGTTCAGATCCCTGTACCAGCCAGTCGCAAAAAAAGAAAATGAAAAGAGGGCTGGTTAGCTCACTCGGTTAGAGCGCAGTGCTGATAACACCAAGGTCAAGGGTTGGGATTCCCTTACTGGCCAGCCACAAAAAAAAGAAAAGAGAACATGACTAGAGAGTAATGGGGAAGGGACTTAGCGATACCACACGTCCTTTCTTGGGGCAAGAAGGCCAAGAAGCAGCCAAGGCTGCACAGGGAAGTCTGAAGAAAGAACCTGGAGTCTGGGCTGGCATACCTTGATCTACAGTGCTGGGGGGCCAAGACTGGCTCTCCTGCAGTCCCTGCTTCCCAAGATTCTAATCTTGCGTTCATGGCTGAGATGGCCCTGATAGATCTGGCTCCAAAATTTATACTGCCACTCAGTTTTCAGGGTTTCCACCTTTGCCATCTCCAGAGTTTGTCACCAGATTCAGGTCTTCTTTCATTGTGTGAATTGATTGGAATGAAAGTAGTTTCCTCTTCAGCTTCCTAAAGGGAGTAGAGGGGATGAGAGCTCAGGATCTCAGGGCCCCACCTCCCAGTGACATTTCTTCCTCTCCATTAGCTAGCTCCCATTTGTTAATCTCAAATTAAGTGCTTCTGAGACTGGAAAACCAAGGAACATAGCATCCCATCACAGTCAACTTTACCCACTGCAGGGTGGGGGTGGGGGTGCAAAGCGGGATTATAGCACATTACTATGTGCCAGCACTGTGAGACACTTCACACTTCATTTAACCCTCACCACAACTCTATGATGTAGGCAGAATTACATCTATTTTTCATATGAGAAAAACTGAGGCTTAGTGACAGGTTGTGAATGGTCCAAGGTCACACAGCTAATAAGTATAGAGCTGGGATTCAAATCCTGGTCTGTGTAAGTCCAAAGTGTGTGCCCTTCCCATGACATTGAGATAAGCCACTGCTAAGCCCAAGACAACCCCTTCTCTGAGAAGGGGATCCAGCTCCTTGCACTCATCCCTGGAGCCAGCTGCCTTGCCTGCCCTTGGGCTCATGAGGCATCTGATTCCATAAGGAAATGCATTTTGTGACTTAAAACAGCCTGATTTACAGCTTATGGACCTTCTGCTGTTTGCAACCAGAAGACCCTCAAGGAAGATATGCATCCCTGTCTCCAATGACCTTCCCCTACCTATCCAGTACCCCCCTCCCATATACATATGCCATGCGGGCTAGGGCTCAGACCTTTCAAACCTGTTGTACACTCTGCTTCCACCATCTTGCAGTGTGAGACCCCTGAGTCACTTTGCCACCACCAAATGGACGTTGGACTTCCCAGCCTCAAAAACTTTTTTTTCCTAGTTTTTCCTAGTATAAGTAATGCTATAATAAACATCTTTATAATGGGGAGACGTCCAGCGGGGGAGGCAGAAGCTCCGCGGAGACCACATGCCCTGCGGGGCTGCCGTCGCACGATCCAGCAGATAGGCTTCACCGCCGCCACCCGGCTCCATTCCCAGCCCAGCCCAGTGTGCACAGAGACGCGCGACGTCCGGCAAGGGAGGCGGAGGCTCCGCAGAAACCACACACCCTGTGGGGCCGCCACTGAGAGATCCAGCAGGTAGGCTTCACCATAGGCACCTGGCTCCATTCCCAGCCTGGCCTAGTGTGCACGGAGAAGGGAGATGTCCGGCAGGGGAGGCGGGAACTCCACGGGGACCACACTGCTGCCGCACGATCCAGCAGCCCGGCCCAATGTGTACGGAGCACAGAGACGTCCAGCAAGGGAGATAGAAGCTCCGTAGAGTCCACACACCCTGTGGGGGGCCGCCGCCACGTGATCCAGCAGCAGGTAGGCTTCACCACCGCCACTCGGCTCCATCCCAAGCCTGGTCCAGCGCGCACAGAGCAGGGAGACATCCTGCAAGGGAAGGGGAAGCGCTGCAGAGAGCACACGCTCTGCGGTGCCTCGGCACATCGCAGCAGCCGGGGCCAGAGCGCATGGAACAGGGAGAAGCCCAGCAGGGGAGGTGGAAGCTCAGCAGAGACCACACACCCTGCGGTACCGCCCTGTGATCAAGCAGCCCAGCAGAGTCCAAGCTGACCAGAGAGGTGGCTCCCCAGAGAGACCCAAGACCCAAGGCAACCACATACGCAAGGCACTAGTGGCCAACTGAGCAGTCACTGAGGGAGCCATACCAAATTGGCAACCACAGCAACATCTTAGTCAATAGTGTCAAACCTGTGGACTG